AGTATTAGAGAGATGTCCATATTAGAGAGGTGTCCATGTTAGAGAGGTGTTAGTATTAGAGAGATGTCCATATTAGAGAGATGTTCATATTAGAGAGGTGTTAGTATTAGAGAGATGTTCATATTAGAGAGGTGTCCTTATTAGAGAGATGTTCATATTAGAGAGGTGTTAGTATTAGAGAGATGTCCATATTAGAGAGGTGTCCATATTAGAGAGATGTCCATATTAGAGAGATGTTCATATTAGAGAGATGTTCATATTAGAGAGATGTCCATATTAGAGAGATGTCCATATTAGAGAGATGTCCATATTTGAGAGATGTTCATATTAGAGAGATGTTCATATTAGAGAGATGTCCATATTAGAGAGATGTTCATATTAGAGAGATGTCCATATTAGAGAGGTGTCCATATTAGAGAGATGTCCATATTACAGAGGTGTCCATATTAGAGAGGTGTCCTCAGAGAGGCCTCTGAATTATAAGTTCTGACTGGAACACCACGTATATTTTATTCTGTAGAAGTGGATTGGCTTGCGACTCCAGTACGCCCGACCACCTACACAAAACTGTTTCATCCCTCGCCTCTCCTAAAATCCCAAAATGAAAATTCCGGTTTCAGCACCCCTGAATCGCTGGAATTACCGAGGCAACCCACAACGCGAACTCCCATGATCAAGGGTACATTAAATTTTGACTCTCCTCCTGATGACGACACTAACCCGAAGAACTCGCTAGTGGACGATTTACCCACCCCACCCACTTTTGCCACCCCGGGGCTAAAGCTGTATGGAAAGAAGGCAGACAAAACAAATGCAGATGATGTTGAAACCTCAATGCATTATGACCCCCTCAACACACCCCCACGACCCAATGTTACTTTTGTTAGGAGATTGAACCCAGGTATGTAAGGAATAAGGCGTTCACGCGAGGCTACACACGTAGAAATTTCACAACTTGTCAACAAGATGTGTTCGCGCAACAGGCTTGTAGCAAGCTGTCGACAAGTTGTAACAATGTTGTTATTTCATGAAGTTGCTACAAGGTTGTCACTCAGCTTGTTGACAAAGTTTTCAATTGGAGGACGATAACAAGTTATTGGAACAACTTGTAATAAGTCTGTTGAACTCAACAACCTTGTAGCAAGTTGTCAACAAGCCGTTAACAATTTGTCAACAAGCTGGGAACAAGCAGTGCGAACACATCCTGTTGATAAATTGTTGGAACAGCATTGCTACAAGTCTGCTGTAGGTTTGTCACAACTTGTGCGTTTTTACGTGCGTAAGATGACGTCGAAGCCAGAAATAAAGTTCGACATTTTCCAACCAAATCACAATATGTCCGACCAAATGCTGAATTGATGTATTGGAATGGATCACTAGGCTTCAAAAGTTCAACCAGTTAAAATAACTCAAATGTTGTCGAGACGATTCCGTAGTTCAAGAAGATTATTTTATAATACATTTGACCCTACAAAATTCCCATTCCCAATAGACTCTACGCGCTTGGATTGTACATTTGACTGTTACTTGAGATGATGACTACTTTTCACTATGTTTAGAGGACCTGTGCTCAAACTCAGCCAAGAGCGCGTCCCCGGCTAAAGTGGAACTACCTGCCCAATTAGAACAGCCGAACAACAGAACATACGAATTTCCCGATGTCAGCTATGAGATATACCAAACGCTTCCAGACAGCGTTCAGAGACAGTTCCCATTCCAACAAATCAATCTCCTCATAGGACAAACTAACATTTATCTTAATACGAGAACCAAAGGTGAGTTAGGGGGCATGCCCCCCCCCCCCCCGTCCCCAATACCTAAATAAGCTACCAGATTAAGAGATCTTTTTGTCTGTTACGTAACACGCGCTCAAAACTAATTAGTATAATATAGAACTTGCGATTATGACAAGTGACTAACATTCAAATTTATTTTTTGATTCGTTTCTCAATCGGCAAACAAACTTAAAAAGTATGTTTAGTGCTTTATCTGTAAAATAATGCTAAATTGAAGAGATCTGGTTTCGATTTCCTTATGTGATGTGGTCGTAACGGTCGTAAAGATTGAGTCACGATCTTTCTCATCAGCCGAAATACAACATTTTAGAACTGAAAATACGCGGACTGATTATAATTAGAGAGTACTTCCGATTTATAAGGTATACATACATTATATTATTACATTCTACATTACATTCTACATACATTATACATTACGAGTAGGTTTGTGTATATACGAAACGCAAAGAGTGCTCAATATCATAAAGATAGAGCAAATGTAGAATTTAGCTTACCTCAAAATTCCGCAACAGTCTGTTTCATCACTGATGAAACAGACTGTTGCGGAATTTTGAAGTAAGTGAAATTCTACATTATACATTATATTACTCAGCACATTCCCCCATCAGGGTTTTTTCAGTGACTGGTTGCATTAGAGCAGACCGAGGTAGACTGTGAGCTTACAAATGGCGCTTTAAACAGCCGCTATTAGTCCATACCTCATTAATGATCTGCCCCCTGACCTAAGTGCCTAACCCACCCTGTCAACTTTCCCTGTGGGAGGAAACACGGAGTACCCGGAGAAAACCCACGACTTTCGGCAGAGCGTTGACTTTGCTCTTTTCACATGAGGACTGGGTTCGAGTCTCATTGAGAAATTCTCATTGAGATGAAAGGCAAGTGCGCTTAGAGGTGAAAGGTAAGTGCGCTAACCACTTCGCCACCGAAGCCCCCAATAAAAACTGATCTTTGAGAAAGATCGCGACTCATTGCGACCATATGGAAATCAGGTTTAAAGCGCATGACGCAATAATTAATAAAGTAGGGCAGATTTGGGCGCATTGGCATTGCAGCTTAATTTAATGGTTATATTCGATAGCTTCCCTAGATATTTGCAGTATAATCGTTATAGACAGTGCAGGGCGGCAAGATACGGTGCATTGCGGCTTAATGGCTTAACTTTCTCCTTTTATAGTAAACAGCGCGATAGTCACGGACGAAGAGCTAATGTCGGTGTTGCAATTGGGACCTTTCACCCGCGCCTTTGCTTTGGCGATGTTGAAGCTCGAGTATTTCACCGTGAAGAGGTCTGGCGTTTATTCAGTGCATGACAAAATGATTGTATGAAATATTTAAAGTTATATACGGTATATTATATGTATGGATACATGGTAAGCATTTACATTATCCCATTTTGTTGGGGTGGGATTAGCCTGCAAGTGTAGTCGTTATATGTTTAAATCGTTTGACTATTAAAATAGTCATATAAAGTAGTACAGATTACGCTATAGAACAATTTCAAGTAATTAAGCATCACAAGTTGTACTTTCCAAATCAGTATATATTTTTGAAACAGACGTAACTTTGGAGCTTATGGTTGATCCAGTCTTTTTAAGAAAACCGATTTATATATTTTTTGCATTATTATTACAATTTGGTTGGACGTCCGATGTCCGATCGTTTTTTCAGGCTTTGCAATCTAACATAGTTTATATTTTACCAAAAATCATAAATACTAAAAAATATTGAATTCTAGTTGAACTGTCCATGGCACACACACAACATTATGATTAAAGGTAGCATGTAAGTATTTTCTGGTGCCTACTAATTTAGAGACAGTTAAGTACCCAGGCCGACAGGGCAAACGGAAATTTAACAGAAAATGAAGTATATATTCGAGAACAATTTCAAGTAAGATAACTTCGGATCGTATTTTTTATTTGCCTACGACATATTGGACACACTGCATCGCCTTTTGCCTGTAGCTCTCGAGCGCATTTTGGACAACACACCAGATGACCACACGGCAGAAAAACTATCCCTATGTCAGCGTCGAGACAAATCTTGCATCTGTGTGCATCTTCCAATTTCTGGACCTGTCTATGCAAAGCCTCCGGATCCAGCGCCAGGGAGAACCCACTTGTCTGACCTGCGGGATTGTTAGCCACAACCCGGTTATTCCCCGTAGCGGTGGTGCTTTTTCGGTTGGACATTTCTTGGTACGACTGGATTGCATCTAAAAGGTCGGCCATACTTTCGATAGATCCTCCTTCGATTTTCGTTTTTTGTTGAATGGCTTCCTTTATAGTTGCATAATTGTATTGTCCATCTTCCACCAATTTTTGGGCTGCTTTTTGTAAATAGAATATTTCATCTTCGGTGCTGCCTTCCTCTGCTGCCCTCTTGTTCTGTTCAACCATTTTTGAACATTCGCCTTCTTCAGGCGGTAATCGGACCACATCCCCTTTCATCCCCTCCTCCCCTTTTGTTTCCTCCTCCATTTCTGAAGGGCCTTCCTCTGGGGGAGGGGGATATAAAACCTTTAGAGGACTTATCCATGTCTGTTCTTGAGGGAAACCTGGAGCCCTAGGTCCTTGACTAGGGGAGCAGGGGTTACGTCGACGAAGGTGTTCTACAACAAGTGGACAATCCTTGGACCACTTCTCATGCTCGCCCCAAGGCGTGTCCAGCGGCTCCCAACCGGCTAAAATAATTCCACACTTAAAACATTCCACCCTATCGCCATTGCGGGTGTAATAAAACCCAGCATCGATGAGTTCCTTCGGTTGTACGGGACAATCTTTAGGCCAATTTATGAAAGTGTGTAGCCGAGCGTGTTCACTGGCGTAGTTTGGCTTTGCAACGGGCATACGGTTCACAGGTGTTGAAACAGGTGGTTGATGAACTATGCTTGGATCATAACTTGTGCTTCGAAGAGTTTGCCCAAAGTTGGGCTGAGTTGAACCAGTCTCTTGCAGTGAAACATTTGGTGCATATGATATTGAAAATTTGTTGCCAAACCTTGATATATACCTGCAATTGGGTTCAATTTTAAGGTGTTCTTTTATTGGGTCATCACTAGGTAGCCACGCTCTCAAACTGATGTCACATGCAAAACACTTTACATTGTCGTCTATGCCAGTGTAGTAAAATCCGGCCGCAGCCAGTTTCCGCGGTTCCACCTCCCCACGCCAGCCATTGTTTCTTTCAAAACTTCGCAAACGTTGGTCCTCGTGTTCCATATCGTTGTCAATCGGGTCGAAACCAGGCGCTGTTTGCACTGGGATATTCCGATTCAACTCCGACCATGTTGAGCTTTCGAGGGTATCAGTGTCACGTCTTCGTACAAATTCACAACGATTTCCAAATAATCTAAAAAGTACATTGAGAAAGTGGAAATTTCGTAGTTTTAATTTGGTTTAAAGATTAATATTATGATTTTATGAACTGAAAACTTGATTAGCATTACGTTACAGAAGGTCGACTTCTTGGTTCTCTCTATGATTTTGGCGTAACCATTGCAATGCTGACGCCATGGTTATAGACCCAACGTCTGCCATAATTTTGAGGGGGGTGAATGCCTCTCATATGCACACTGGCTAGGACCATGGCATCAGCATTTTGATAAATCATGGCATAGCAGCAGTTATATTTTTTCAGCTAAGTTGACCTTCTGTGTGTCTCTATTCCGTGATCTTGGCTTCACTTTTCTCATAGGCCGAACAACTGAAGTTCTTGCTGCAGATATATGTAGAGACATCTGACCGAGCTCACAGACTTGTATGCAAAGGAAATTTGACTAACTTTCATAAAGTGGAAGCACCGATTTACAATATCTTCGTTTTTTCAATTTTTTGTCTGATTTCTCAGAAATATTTATACACATATATGGATATACTTCAGGGAAAGGAATGCATACAAGTTTGGCTGTGTAGAAGAACTACGTACTAGATAGTTTAATATCATGACAGATACTCTGTTTGTCTGTTCTAAACCATATGGCCTAAGCATTATCGTTTACAGCACAACTGGCTGTTTATATGAGTTGGAAATGTGGCTTAGTATAATTTGCTGTCTCCAAAATTAAACTATTAGCACAAGTTTATTTTTACTATATATTGCCCTCTGCCGTCAAAGTAAACAGTCTAAATCCCACCATTCACCAATACACGCTATTAATGTTTTAATACAAATTCTATGTATTATACCTTCTGTGTTTTTGCTCTGGTATATCACCGATTTGCCATTTATTTAGTGTTCCTCCACAACTAAAACAACATACGGTATCGTCACCAACAATCCCAATATGATAGAAGCCTGCTTCCGCCAAATCCTTTGGCTTCACGGCTCCACTATTTGGCCACTGTGAGAAGCTTGTTAGACGGTTTTTTAAATCGTTCATACTTGGGTTAAACATACGACCAACCATTATGGCAAGGAAGTTGAATGTAAAACGCTTAGCTTGATAATTTCACTTTTTAACACATGAGTCATGGCGAAATATTAAAAGTATTTTAAAAATGGGGGAAATCGGTTTCCCAATTTTAAGGTCATTTCCTTCATTTGTGAATTCCTTAATTCTAGGATAAAAAAACTTAAGAATTCCTTAGAAGGCTGAATGTCCTTTGACAAATAAAAGGTTGCATTGCCATTCAAAAGCTATCACGGGTAAAATGTTTGAATTTCCATTGATGGGTTTTTGAATGGTTTTGAAAGATTTACCATGTCTACTGTGAATGTATTAAAAACTAGAATTCCTACCATTTTTGGGTATTACACTGTATATTTCCCATATGGTATAAACTTGGTAAAAACCATGGTGTTAATATTTACCATTTATGGTACTTTCCTGTGCACAGCTGGAAATCCCTAAAAATCCGCTTAAATTGTACACTATTTAAAATCACGAGAGCATACTCTTGCTTCAACTATTCAACAATCAATATTTTTAATCCACTCAATTTCGTAAACAAACGTGAAAATGTTTGCACGCTTCGAGCTTGAACGCAAATAGCAGGATGTTTCGCAATTTCCTGGAAAATAAATTTTATTTTACAAAAAAAAATTTAAAAAATTAGAATTCAATATTTCCTTAAATTTCCTTAAAATTTAAAATTATTGTCTGCGCAAATTCCCGCGGTTTTGCGGTTCCTTAACTTCCTTTTGCCCCAGTCTTTTTGGCCGAGCGAGGAAGAAACATGGCGACCGAAAAGGCAGGCGAGACAACAAGTAGTCAAGAAATTATTGAAAAGAAACATCGTGGTATCCCAGAAGCTACGTTTTTGGTTGGTATACATATATATGATTATATATTAGATAATTACGTTTGTTCTCATGTTGTAATGTGAACTTTTTATCGGCTTTGTACAGTTTTTACAGTCCATAAATCTCTGCCTAGTTTTGTGACAGATGACAGATGCGGAGATATTACTGTATTGTATAAAGCCTAGTCTGCACATGCATGATTTTTCTCATACCAGTAATGCAACAGGTCAGATTTTGTTGTGTTACCAGAGGGAGCCAGCCCCCCTGGCTATATCACTGTGTCCAAATACAAATGATTATATTTAGATGGCCACCAGACTGCTAACTTTGCTGTGCGCACAGAAGATATTCCGTGCACATTTTTCGATATGAAGTGTATGTGTTTTAAGAATTGAAGTCAGGTACGCATTATGTGAGCACTTTGCACAGAATTTTTTAATTTTTTTGACAAAATGTTCTTTCAACACTGCTAAAAAATTTGATACTTTAGTGATGTCACTGATGTACAAATTTCCTCACTTATCACCTGAGTGTGCATTCTGTCCCATCCGTGAAATATAAGTGCACAGTTTTTTGGCAACAAAATCATATTCGGTGCGCAATTAGCAAAGTTAGCAGTCTGGGATGGCCAGCCATGAAAATCTCTTTACTAGGCAAATGGGTTAATTTGACTTTCATAGGAGCATGTAGATGCATTTATGAAGACAGATGGTAGCGATGGAGCAGAAAGTGTTTTGAGACGACTTGACGAACAGCATCAAAAATACAAATTTATGGAATTAAATCTCATGGCCAAGAAACAAAAGTAATGAAATATTACACATTCAGTTTTATTGCTTTTAGGTCCAAGGGCCATTGCTTTTAGATTGTATATTACTACTAGTGATGGAAAATTACTGATAATCTTTACATATTTCAGGTTGCAAGGCCAAATACCTGATCTGAAATCAACATATGAAATGGTAAAACTACTAAAAGAGAAAAAAGTAAGTGTGTTGCTTATACCCCCCCCCCCTCCAAAAAATTCCTCCCTCAGAACAACTAGCCAGAATTCTTACAGGTATGTTTATAACATTGATCTTT